CGCCGCTACCATGAGACTGCGCCTCATTGACGGTAATGTTCTTCCTATCAAGGCTATGCCCCTTGATTGCCTAAGACCACTCTCTCTTCCCGTCAAGGCTCTGTTCATCATCGTCGATCATACCGACAAGGTCAGACAACTCTCTCCATCGTCGATCGACCTCGCCTTCAACGCTCAGAGCTCCGCCCTCACCTTAGCCACCGATCACATCAACCGCACGATCCTTTTCGAGGTCCAAGATCACGGCCTTGGAAACAGATATTTACTAGGGTTTCAATTAATTTTTATGAAAGATCCGAACTTTGGGTGATAGGAAAGAGAAAAGGTTTAGGAAGACTGCCATATTTATCTAAGGCCCAACCTTCAAAGCCCATCTTCAGGCCCATTCTTCTCTTAATTTTTCAAAAAAATAAAAAAAAATCAAAAAAATCTACAGACCCATGGACAAGAAAGAACTCTACACCTTTCCACCCATTGATGTGCAACTCACAAATATCGACAATTACACTGCATGGTCTCTCACTATGCAGTATAATCTTTGAGCTTTCGCATAATGGGGTTACATTAACGGATCTCTTAGTTGTCCATCCAAACTGTTATTTTGTCTTCGTTATCTACATCCTATGTATCAGAAGTCACTACTGATGATTCTCAGACCACTTATTCGTAGTGGATTCGTTTAGATCAACAGATCATGGCATATGTTATGCATTCTGTAGCTATTCCTATTCGGCTCTCTCTTAGACGAGCATCTTCATCTCGTGAGCAGTGGCTAGCTCTCAGTCGCATGTTTGTTCAGACTTGTGCTGCTCGTGAGTATCAACTTCACCAAGCTCTTCAGGATGCACGTCAGGGTAATCGGTCTATTCAAGATTTCCATTCCTTAATATCAGGCTATTGGGAGGAATTGCAGATGATGGAGGAACCTCTTCCTGAGAGGCTTCCAGACTTTGTCATAGCATTTCAAAAACAATGTGATCGTCAACAGTTATATCACTTTGTCATGCGTCTTCGTTATGAGTTCGAAATCTTACGTGGACACATTCTTCATTTGCAATCCTCTCCCCAGTCTCCGTGAAGTGCGCCTTCAGATGCTCTCCCCTCTAGTTATTGCATCTCAGCCATTATCTTCATCACATACTGTTCTAGCTACTCCTCAGCAGTTCTCTTCCTATCGGGTCATTCTAATAGTACATCTGATTCCTCTCGGCAACTCTACTGTCGTTATTGTAAGAAGCTGGGTATCTTATTGATAAATGTCGTAAGAGACCACCTCGTCTAACACCTGAGAAGACTCGATCTCCATTTGCTGCTTTGGCTGATGTTAGCCCAGCTCCTCAAGAACCGCAGACTTCTAGCCCTATCTCTTCTGAACAGCTGTCAGAGATTACTGCATTAATAACCAAGAATCTTAGGCTTAGTGGTGTTGCCTCCAGTTCAAATTTTACTACATCATCTGTTCATTCTAGTACTTTTACTCCTTGGATATTCGACTCAGAAGTATCTCATCATATGACCTTTGACAACTCTATTCTTATAAATTGTTCACCTGCTCCCTTTTCATTATGCATTTATACTACTAATGATACTCCCCTAGCTGTCTCTCAGTTAGGTGATATTACTCTAAGTTCTTATAGTTCCGGTCATCTAACATTATCATCTATTCTTCATACTCCCAAATTATCTATGCAACTTTTATCCATTGGGAAAATTGGAGATTCTGGTTGCACTATCTTATTTAATACAAAATCTTGTGTTGTCTAGGATCACATTGGTTAGAAAATAAGGACAGGCCGTAGAGTTAATGGATTTTATGAGTTGGAGTCTTTACATCTTTCCACTCCATCCAACATTGATCATGGGCTCTCTGTTTTTGATCTGTGGCACCGTCGCTTAGGTCATATCTCTGGTTCTCACTTAAAATTTTTATCTGAATCTGGTGTATTAGGAAATTTAAAATTCTCTACTTTATCAAACTGTTCTGGGTGTTGATTAGCTAAATAAATTGTCTTACCATTTTCATCCAGTAATAAAACCGCTTTACCCCATTTGATTTGATTCATTCTAATATCTGAGGATCTTCCTCTTTACCATCATTGTCCAGTTATCAATATGTCAGATTTATTGATGACTATTCTCGCTACACTTGGGTATAACTCATGCGTACTCGTTCTGATATTTTAAATATTTATTAAGACTTTACAAATATAATTCACACCCAGTTTCATAAACGTATAAAGATATTTCGCTCTGATGGTGCTTGTGAATATAACTCTTCAGCAATGTAATCTATTTTAAAATCACATGGCACTCTCTCTCAACAAACTTGTCCACACACTCATGAACAAAAATGGTGTTGCTGAAAGAAAACATCGTCACATTCTCAACACCACTAGAGCTCTTCTGATATCAGCATCTGTACCTCGATATCTTTGGGCAGAAGCCCTTCTAACTACTGTTTATCTTATTAATATTACCCCATCTTCTGTATTAGTTGACACATCTTCATATTTTTAACTTTTAAAATCTCAGTTTCGTTATTCTCTTCTTGTACTTTTGGATGTGTCTGTTTTGTCCTGCTTCTAACTCATGAACAAGATAAACTATCTCCATGCACTGTACGATATATCTTTCTTGGCTATAGCATCATTCACAAGGGGTATCATTGTTATGAACCTACCACTCGAAGGTTTCGTATTGCCCGTCATGTGACCTTTTTTTTAGAATATTTCCTATTATGGGATGTTTGGTTGGCTAAAAAAATAAAAATAAAAATCAAAGAAAAGAAAACATATTTTCTATAATTAGTTCTTTTCTTGTGTTTGGTTCACTTCTTAAAAGTAAAAAAGGATATGAGATAAGATGAGTTATCACAATATTATTGGATGATGTGGGTAATTTTTTAAGAAGAATTTCATGAATTGTTTTGAGGTTGTTTGGTTGGCTAAAAAAACAAGAAAATCAATTATAAGAAATCTATTTTTTATAATAGGTTCTTTTCTTGTGTTTGGTTCATTCTTAAAACTAAGAAAAGAGATGAGATGAGATGAGTTGACATTATATTATTAGATGATGTGACTCATATTTAGGGAAACCCATTTCATGATTTTTTAGGAAATTGATGGAAATCAAATTTTAATGAGATGAGATGAGTTATCACCATATTATTGGATGATGTGACTCATTTTTAAAGATGAAATCAGATGAGATGATGTGACTCATTTCTTGTGTTTGGTTCACTCTTAAAAGTAAGAAAGGAGATGAGATGAGCTGAGTTATCACCATATTATTAGATGATGTGGGTGATTTTTAAGGATAGAAATGGATGGAAATCAATTTTTAATGATTTTCGGGATCCTATTTCCTTTTCTTTGATTTTAGGAAACCAATAAAACAGCCCCTTATACTACCTCAGATTCAGATCTCTCCTTTCTTCAACCCCTTTCATTACCTTCCACTATTATACTTGTATCAGTGGCACATGTACCTTTGTCTGCTCAACCTACTCCCTCCTTCACTTCAATGGCATCAAACGATGGTGTTATTGATTCATCCACACCTCCTGAACATCCGCCTACTTAACCCCATTTATTACCTTCCACTACTATACCTGTATCTGTGGCACCTTTACCTTTGTCTGCTCAACCGACTCCCTCATTCACTCCAATAGCATCGAACGATAGTGCTATTGAATTATCCACACCTCCTGGACATCCGTCTACTACATCCCCTTTGCAACAAGCCTCCTACTAATGTCCCGTCTACATCTGTGCCAGCTTCTCCCAATATGACTCCTCCCGCTCGCCGCAATCCTCCACGATATCATCATCCCCCTGCTCGGTATGTTCAATGTGTCACTAGCACATATTCTCCTAAGTTTGTCTCTTTTCTTGCTACTATTCACTCTATACATGAACCTAAATCATATTCTGAGGCAGTTAAGTATCCAGAATGGCAACAATTAATGACGGAAGAGTTGGAGGCTTTTCGTCGGACTAATACTTGGGACCTTATTCCTTTGCATTTTGGTGTTAAACCGGTAAGCTGCAAATGAATTTATAAGGTCAGGACTCGATTTGACGGTTCTATTGAGCGGTATAAAGCTCATCTTGTAGCTCAGAGATTCTCAAAAGAGTGGTATTGACTATAAAAAGACTTTTGCTCCTGTTGTAAAAATGGCATCCATTTGCACTCTCATTGCTGTTACAGTTGCAAAACATTAGCCTTTGTATCAAATGAATGTTAAAAATGCTTTTCTTAATGGTAATTTGTCTGAGACAATATACATACAGCCACCTCCTGGCTTTTCTGCTCCTCCAGGACATGCTTGTTGCCTTCATTGTGCTATATATGGTTTCAAACAGGCTCCTCGGGCTTGGTTTGAGCGTTTTCGACAATCTCTTCTTTCTATTGGTTTTATTGAAAGCCTAGCTGACTACGCTCTCTTTTATCGGTCCTCAGCATCCGGTACAATTATTCTATTACTTTATGTTGATAACATGATAATCGCTATGAGTGATTCCTTTGTCATTACTTCTTTAAAGCAACATCTTCAGAGTCAATTTGAGATGAATGATCTTGGATCCCTTCGTTACTTCTTGGGTATTGAGGTTGCTTCCTCCTCTCGTGGCTATCTTCTCTATCAGCAAAAATATATGACAGACATTCTTGAGCATGCTACTCTTAGTGATCCTTCCATTGCTACCACTCCGCTCTCCACACAGATGGAAATGAAGTTGAAGCTTCGTCATGATGATGGCTATCATTTATCTCAGCCTACTCGATATCGGAAACTTGTCGGAGCATTGCTTTATCTTTCAGAAACACATCCGGATATTACATATGCAGTACACATCTTAAGTCATTTTGTCAGTAGTCCGACTTCCATTCACTATGCAGCTCTCATTCGGGTTCTTTGATATCTCTGTGGCATTATAATCCAATCATTAGTTTTCCCCTCAGACTCTTCCTTGTCTCTTCGTACATATTCTGATGCTGGATGGGCTGATGATGCAGATACTCGATGTTTAACTACTAGCTTTTATATTTTTCTGGGTTCATCTCTCATCTCTTGGCGTAGTAAGCGTCAAGCCGTTATCTCTCATTCTAGTACAGAGTCTGAGTACAGGGCGTTGGTAGACATCACAGTTGAGCTAAAATGGCTCCGCACTCTTCTGCGAGATCTTAATGTATTTGTTACTTCTCCTATCACTTTATATCGTGACAATCAGAGTGCTTCCATTTCTACAAATCCGGTATTTCGTGAACGTACCAAACATATTGAGGTGGATTGTCATGTGGTTCAACAAGAGCATGTTGCTAGAAACATTACACTCTCATATGTTCCCTCTAAGGAGCTAAACAAATGCTCAAATCATTTTTGTGTTTTGTTATTTCTTGTCCAAACTCTCGGTATTCAATCCACCGTGAGTTCAAAGGGGGGGGAGGGTGTTAGATAATATCATGAGCTCTAGTCGATCATGAGCCATAGCCGCCCTAGTTATAGCCGCCTCAGCCGCTAGCCACCGCAGCTGCCTCAGCCACCTCCTAGTATGGGCTACCGCTTGTGTATAGTGTGGGCTACTATTTGCGTATATATACGCTGTAAATCTGATCATAATATATCGAGTTCTTTTCAATACCAACTTAACATTTTCTATTGTGCTCTTGAACGGAGTTAGATGATTTTGCAAAGCCTAAATTCTTTTTCTAAATAAATGAGTGAGATTTATGAGGTAAATTGCAAAATTAGATATTTCGAGGTATATGCACAAATTTGGATGATGGGGTCCACAAAACTATCACTTTCTAAACAAGCAACATGCAATCCAAACATGATAATATTATTATTTTATGATTCATAATGATTCCTAACCAAACAATATAAAAACTCAAATGAAGAATGACGAGGTGAATAACCGCTCTCCACTTGGTGCCATAAATCAAAATATCTATGCAGCCCCCAACTCTCACTAGCTCTCTCTGTAGCTTCACAATCTTGATAGTTTTGATGTAACGATCCGAGAGAGTAAATTTTGGTGGACTCAAACTAGATAACTGCTTCCACCTTAATTTGACTCAAACTAGATAACTGCTTCCACCTTAATTGATTCGGAGCCCGTCGAAACTAATTTAGCTAGCGTGTCGTGCATGTTCTGTCAGAAACATAAAAATACATACACCCCATCTCTCGCTAACTCACGCCGTAGCTTGCTCGTAGTTTTGATGTAATGATTCGAGAGGCTAAATTTAATAACAGGGACAGCCTGTGTTCCCCCAAAAGACCACGACCAGTAGATGATCTCACAACCGCCCGGCACAGCCCACAGCCGCCGCAAAAACATTAATTCGGTATTAATTAATCAAGTCTAAAAACTCTTTTGAGAATCTTTAATTTATGGAAAGAAGAGGATGAGAAAAAGAAAATTAAGGTGGGCTGATTTATTACCTTCGGGAGTGGCCTTCAAGCTCTTGCGCCGACCTATCAGCCTGGAAGAAACCAGCGGTTTCTCGGTCGAGAAGGAGTAATCGGCCAGACTCTGCGACTGTTCCTTCTCCCCGTAATCGGTCTCCCCGGCTGCGGTCACAGACTCCGTCCTATCTGGAGCCCTGCAGGTCGATCTCGACATCACAAGCTCCTCCCCTCCCGAATATTCC